ACAAGGCAATTAATATGACTTCCTTTTATATTTAAGAGTTGGTGGAAGAATGGTGATGACGTGGGTAGCAAACAAACATCTCTTCTCGTTGTGTCAAGAACTGGAATCCCTTTGTTTTATGTTTTTTTACTAATCATCTTTTGACTTTGTTGTTCCCTCCATGTTTCCTAAGCTTAACCAGGAATTAAGAACTGTATATACTTCTTCAATTAATATGCTTAAAGAAAACTCAGTTCAATACTAATGTTTATGGTTGCTAATTGTTAGTTTTATTATATATATATATATATATATATATATATATATATATATATATATATATATATATATATATATATATATATATATTGTTCGTCATGCTCAACATTGGAATTCTGTATACATACTTAGATACAAGCTATAACATGCATACACTTGTACAGAGAAGAATCTTTATAAGATGTAGGAAACACCAAACTTCAAATTAAGGACACATGAAGAGATCATGTCCTTGATTTATGGTGGACCAATCATCAACTAATAAACATAAAAGGAAGTCCAATGTATGGACCAACATGAAATAATGATTTGTCAATGTAACATTTAGTAGATTCCACTCATGTTTTAGGTTGTCACACACCTAACTGTTTGACTGATAAAAGCCTTTTTAATGAAACATTGTGTAGGCCATCATTTGGACAATGTGAATCCAAGGTCAGGTCATCATATTCAATCAGAATGTCCCCATCAGGCTTTATCAAAAGCAAAATTAAATAAAAATAAAAAGATAATAGAGTCAATAAAATGGGTTCATTTATATAAGTATTAGGAAGAAAATATCATTAATGCCTTGGTCAGTTCGATGTGGGCCTGACTCTTATGTGTAAGAATATCCAATATGCCTTCAAGGTGGAAATATCGTGCTTTTGAGATGGATCCAAGATAGTTCCAATGTGACTTTGAGGTGGATCCGAGGTAGATTCGAGATAGCTTTAAGATAGATTCAAGGTCGATCCGAGATGACTCCAAAGAGGATATGAGATTGCTCCAAGGTGGGTCCGATGTGTCAAGCTCTCAACGCATCACCAGTATTAAGACTGAAGTCGGGAGAGGTTTCCCGACTAAGTCCCTCCGACGCACAAGCAATTTGAGGTCCCTAAATGTCGATTTGAGTAATTCAAAAAGAGTGAGTCCTTTCTCCATTTTCCTATTTAGGATATATTTTTATACCTTAAAAAAGAGAAGAAAGTTTGTGATATCATTCATTGTCATAGAGGAAAAGAAGAGAGTTTATGATTATCTTCTTTATCGGGGAGAGAAATAAGTTTGTGATTGCCTTCATTGTCATAATGAATGAGAATGAAGCATATATTTCTCTACTTTAAATCACTGTACACGTACTCAGATGGAGGATAACTTGGATGGCATGTGGCAACCACGTGTCATTTGATGGTAGATTCCCTATCATTTGCCCCCTCCCCCCCACCCCTCCTCTCCTCCCCCCCCCCAAGGCATGCTTCAGGGCTCTTGCGTGAGAGGTTTGAAGCATGTCATTTGATTTTTCTGACATAGGAGTATTTGAGATCTCATCTTGCGAGTTGAGTTTTTTCGAATCAAGTGTTTCAAGCATATTAGCCCTGTGTTTCTACCACATCGAATTTCTCTTGGCGCAAGTAGGGTTTCTCAACTCACGTGTCTTAGGTGCATTTGATCTTGCGTCTTCGTTATAGCAGATTTCTCTTCACATAGGTCGAGATTTTCCTACTTATATGTCTTAGGTGCATTTGGCTTTATGCCTCCGTTGTAACTTATTTTTCTTGGCACAAGTCAGGGTTTCCTAACTCATGTGTTTTAGGCGCATTTGACCTTGCGCCTTTATTGTAGTGGATTTATCTTAGTGTGGGTCAAGTTTTCTCAACTTACGTATCTTAGGTGCATTTGGTCTTGTGCCTCCGTCGTAGTGGATTTATCTTGGCACGGGTTAGGTTTTTTGACTCACGCGTCTTGGGTGCATTTAGTCTTGTGACTTCGCCATAGTATATTTATCTTAGCGTGTTAGGGTTTTCTTGACTTATGTGTTTCGAGTGTATTTGGCCTTGCGCCTCCATTATAGCGGATTTATCGTGGTGTCATTCGGGTTTTTCTAACTTATGTGTTTTGGGCACATTTGGCCTTGTGCCTTCGTCATAGCACATTTATCTTGGTATGGGTTAGGTTCTCTCAACTCATGCATCTTAGGCACATTTGGCCTTACGCCTCCACTATGGTAGATTTATCTTGGTGTTGGTTAGGTTTTCCTGACTTAAGCGCATTTGGCCTTGCATCTTCGTCATGGCGAATTTATCTTAGCAAGGGTTAAGTTTTCCCAACTTAAGTGTCTTATGTGCATCTGCCCTTGCACCTTCGCTGTAGTGGCTTTATCTTAGCACAAGTTAGGTTTTTCTGACTCACGTGTCTTGGGTGCATTTGGCCTTGCTCCTTCGCAATAGCAGATTTATCTTAGTATGGGTCAGGTTTTCCTGACTTACACGTCTTAGGCGCATTTGGTTTTGTGCCTATGCCATAGTGAATTTATCTTAGCATGGGTTATGTTTTCTTGACTTATGCATCTTAGATGCATTTGGCCTTGAACCTCTATAGTAGCAGATTTATCTTAGCACGGGTCGGATTTTCCCGACTTATGCATCTTGGGCGCATTTAGCATTGTGGCTCTACTGTAGTGGATTTATCTTGGTGCTGGTTGGATTTTCTTGACTCATGCATTTCATATGCATTTGGCTTTACGCCTCTATCATAGCAGATTTTAAGTTCCTTCTCCACCATAGTGGATCTCGGATTTTCCTGCCATGGCGGATTTCAAGTTCCTTCTCCATCGTGGCGAATTTCAAAAATTTCCACTATAGCAACTTTAAATCTTTTTTCCACCATAGCAGATTTCATGTCCCTTCTTTGTAGAGGATCTCAGGTCTTCTATTGTAGCGGGCTTCTTTTTTATTTACTGTGACGAATTTTATTTCCCCTCTTCACTATAGTGGATCTCAAGTCTTCCTACTATAGTGGGCTTCAAATCTTTTTTCCACCATGGCGAATTTTATATATCTTCTATGTCATATTGGATCTCGGGTCTTCCCACCATGACCAACTTCAAATCTTCTTTCTACTATGGCATATCTTATATCCCTTCTCCCTCATAGTAGATTTTGAGTCTTCCTATTGTGGTAGGCTTTAAATCTTTTTTTGTTGTGGTAGATTTCATGTCCCTTCTCTATTGTAGCAGATCTTGGGTCTTCTCGCCATAGTGAACTTCAAATCTTTTTCCACGATGGTAGATTTCATATCCCTTCTCCATCATAGTGGATCTCAAGTATTCTCGCATGCCAGGCTTCAATTTTTTATTTTACGTGACGAATTTCATGTCCCTTCTCCACCGTAGTAGATCTTGGGTCTTCCCGCATTAGTGGATCTCATCGTTAATGATGGTCTTGGCAGTGAACTGAAGATCAAGCAGGTCGATGAGTACTTGTACATGACTCTTCTTCTTCGAGATAGATAGCAACCACGATAGTTGAAACTCTTGAGTAGCTACCCCTCAAACTTCTCATCGTTGAGGATGATGGAACCTTGCAGGCTCTCCCTCATGATGCGGTTTGTGAGGGCATCAATCAGGGTGGACTTGTCAAATCTATTCCCCCCAGCACCCTCTCCTTCCCTCGTCTCATTAGAGATGAAATTCAATAATGTCTCGATCCTAGAGATCACCTTTAACTACTAGTCATAGGTGCCCTACAAGCCAATCATATGAGTGATGACACATGTGACATGATAGACACTCTTTTTATTGATTATTATTTATTGGTATTTTTTTCACTTTATGTTACTTATTGCATATATTGTGATGTCCATGGATCTGTGCAATGGTAATCGGATTGTGATGAGATTACGATGATGAAACTGTTTCGCCTTTAAACATAAACCCTAAATAATCCATATCGTAGGTTATTTAAGAGAGACATCGAGATAATAAGATATATTAGTGTATTGTATACTCGTCCATATGATGAAAACAACTAGTCTCATAGCTACTCATATAGGGACACTAGGGATATAGTGCAGGTGCGCATTGAAGAATGAGTTTACTAATTGATCCACTCACGAAATGCTAGATGGTTGATGATACCTCATTGTCAAATAGTGATTCCGTCATCCTAATTGTATATTTGGTCCTTAGACTTGAGACACCAAGAATATCTTGTATGAATACTCCACTCTTTGATACTAGACTTATAGGTTAGAAAATTTCAGATCTAGCACAACCGGTCATCAAGAGTGGAAACCAACCTTAAGAGGAAAATTGAGTATCGATAGAGGATCATCCTCTCTCGATATAATGAGAGGAATATCCTATGTATTATTACTCAAGCAAGTCCCTTGTAGGGTCACTCAGATTGAGAGAGAAAGAGTTCTTCGGGAAAATCTGATTAGAGTAAGACTCGAGTAGAAACCATATGGGCTTGACAACACCATGTCCGGTATACGGTCTTTGGGGATAAAGGATTATAGATACATGATAACTGAGGATAAATAGG